AACAACTAGATGCAATCCTGTAACACAATCCAGCAGTCAGATTTTTATGGAAAATGCATTGTATCCCAAAAACCAAAATTAGTGAGAATGGAGAAACATTTATTTATTTGAAAATATATTTATTTTCTGGCTCAGTAAAATGCAAGTGAAACCCTTTATCCCTTTATTTATCCTGTTGCCGTATTGCATTTAGTTGAACTACCAGAAAATTATTGCCTTGTATTGATATTTGATTAGAAAGGGAAGGAGTACTTTAATCATGCTTTCATTTAAGTTCTTACAGTAACACAGAAATATTTATGAAGGATAAATGAAGCTTGGAAACTGAAGCCATATTAGTAAATTTTTCATGGTTTGATTTAAATTGTTTCAGACTGCAGTATTGGTCATCTGAAAAATACCAACTCACAGAGAGAAGCCACTCTTCCAAATATAGCACACGTGACTATTTGATGTCAAAAGTTTTGGATTTAATAATGTAAGTAAATTATTTTTGTAATCAGATGTTAACTTGAAAATGTATTGCTTATCCAGTAAAATATGAAGCATTATTAATGCTTCTATATTTAATAATTGTCTATCACACAAAATTTAGTTATTAAGAGCTCTGTTGGAAATTTAGTCTCAATTGTATGGCCAGGAATACTCACTGATTAGAGGCTGGAGGAATCATGGACTCCTTGGAGCTAGGATCCTCAAGTTCCCAGAGCTCATCAGAAGTGTGACCCCCATGTGTGCTTGGTGAAGATTTGGTAGGCTCATAGGTATTTCAGAAGCAGTGCTGCATGTGTGCTCCACACTGGGAATCTCAATCAGAAGTCAGTTTGCATCTTACTCATTGAAGAAAGAAGCAGAAGCAAGGATCTCATCAAGTACCCTAGTGTGCAAAAGTAATATTCCTGTAGTGAGGCCTGACTCATCACTGCTCAGGTAAATTTTTACATATTAGTATATGTATTTTGATTAACGTTAGAACTGCATAAGTCATACACCAGCACCTATTAAATACTTTAAATTTTAAGCCAGTGTGATAGTTTCATTTGCTTATGATCTTTGTGTGCTTGAATAATAGACAGATTGTTTCAGATTCTAGAGTTCATATCAGAAAATTAGTTCTGAAACATTCTCCAAAGATCCTTGTTTCATATTTGGTCCAGGTCATAGGAAGAAATCATAGTGATTGGATATTTATTACTTTGAAATGGAGCATAAGTCC